ATTTGCCTGCAAATTTCAAGATTCTATTGCTTTTTTTTTCTATTCAGTAGTACTCCATTGTGTAAATCTGCCACATTTTCTCCATCCATTCTTCAGGTGAGGGGCATCTAGGTTGCTTCTAGGTTCTGGCTATTACAAACAATGCTGCTATGAACATGGTTGAACAGATGACCTAGTTGTATGAATGTGCATCATTTGAGTATATGCCTAAGAGTGGAATTGCTGGATCTTGTGGTAGACTGATTCCCATTTTCCTGAGGAAGGTTGTTTTTGTTTTTGTAGATAGGGACTTGCTTTGTAGCTCAGGCCCGCCTCTAACTACTGCTAATCTTCTACCTCAGCTTCTATGGTACAGCCCCACACCTTCTTTTTTTCTTCAGCATTTTATTGGCATATATTCATTGTATATAGCATTGGGTTTCACATAGGCAATTTCTTTCAAGTATATCATTTGTACCTACTCCCATTCTTTCCTTTTAACTCCTCACCCTCTCTTCCTCTAGTCTCATCTCCTTTCTGATTTCATTTTTTTATATACATATGTTTTTATGTATCTTTAAGGATTTCCAGGGCTCATAAAAGAAAAACCAAGATATTTGTCTTTTCCACCTGAATTTGTTGAATATGATCTCCAGTTGCACCTATTCCATTGTGTGTATTTGTATGTTTTGTTTAGCCACTCATCCACTGATGAGCACCTAGGCTGACTTTATAATCTGAGGTATATAGATAGCAGTGCTGGAAATGTGGGAATGTACCTACATCTGTGATATGACTTCAGGTATATACTCAGAAGTAGTACAGCTAAGTTATATAGTATTTTTATTTTTGGTGCTTAAAAAATAACCTCTATACTTATTTCCTTAGTGACTGTGTCAAGAGACACAATTTTAACAAAATAAAGCTAAAAATCTCCAGAATGAGCAACATACCACATCTTAAAGACAGGATTAGCAGCAGTGCTACATTGAGCAGAATTGAAGCACAGAGCAAGGGCAAATCAAGTAATAGTCATGCTATCTAAAACACGCAGAGGAAAAAAAAATTCACAGAGGCTCAAACAATAGTGGGACAATGACAAAAACCCTAGTATTCAGTTGTTCTCAGAAACACTCATTCTTCTAGGCTTCAGGCTTCCAAATTATAAACACAGGGGCACCTTTCTACCCACACTTTCCTGTCTCTTAATTCAAATATTCTCCATGTCCTCATATATGGCTTTTAAGCCACTTTCAGAAGGATAATCTACTGAAGGCATTCTACTTCCCAGCACAGTAAACTCTACCTTTACAGTCCCAGAGTTTTCAATTACTGTTTGCTCCAAGAAACTTTTCTTCACTTTCTGATGTCCTAGTTGTACTTATGGGCTTGACACAGCATTTGATTACAAAAAGGCTGGTGTGAATAGAGATACAATGTATTAAGGAGTAACATAGAGCCTGGCATACCATATTTGCTCAATAAATGTGATTTCCCTTTGAAACTTGTTTCACACAATTCTAGATTTGTTTATTTAGAATATATGTATCATCTTCCATCAACATAGTAAAATATTTCTGTACCTTCAGTAAAAAGGCAGACACAAATTGCCCCTTTCCAGTGTTTTTATTGACACACACAACATTTACAAACCATTTTACAGGTTTCTTTGCACATGTTTATTGTTCATAGGAAAGATCAGAATTAAAGTAGAGTACCAAAGAAGACCAGAAATGAACACACTTCATTAAGGCAAAGTCTTTATGCTCACCACATTTACCCAAATGGGAAGGCATTCAGTTCTCAAATGACTTCAGTCTTATACCCAGTACCCTATGTGACCAGATACATCACTATACTATAAACACCCAAAGAGGTGTTCCATAGGAAAAGTAAAAGCAGTTGAGTCTTCAAATTTGAGAAAAAGACTGTGTGTGTGTGTGTGTGTGTGTGTGTGTGTGTGTGTGTGTAATGGGAAATTTTAAAGTTCTTTTATTCTTCAAACTTTGAGAAACATAGATTGTGTGTGAAAAGAGAAGGAGAAAAGAGGGTTCAAAGGCAGCAAATCTATTTCTTTCTAAGTCTGCCTGCTTTGTGTGCTCAGATGCCAGAGTTCCATTACTCTGAAAAAAAGAACGAGACATAATCTATCTCCAGTCAGTTCTAGGGTGCAAAGGTTAGTAACAAGAGACTCACCCTAGGAAGGAATGTATTTATTTTATGTGCCTAACAGTACAATGCAAACTGCATCTCATCTAATGTATTCTTACCATAAATTCACTTCCTGCATGGCCTTGGACAATTAAATTTCTGTGCCACAATTTTCTACTGTAAAATGAGAATTGTAATACTTTATGTTGAAGAGTGGAGGAAATAGTGTGGAGGAAATAGAGCAAGCACTACAAACAGTGGCTGACCAGATGAACAGACAGAAAGTAGACTAGTAGTTGCAGGAACTGAAGGTGAATAGAGAACAGGAGTGACTGGTTTGTCTGTAGTGATAAAGACAGACATTCCCATAGCAGTGATAGTTGTGGAACTCAAAATATAGTAAGAACCACTGAATTGTACACTTTGAAAACTAGATTTCATGGTAAAGCGTACTTTAATAAAGCTATTACAAAAGTTCTTTTAAAGGTAGAATACTAAATTGGTATAGAGTAAGTGCCCAATAAATGTTAGCCATTAATAATCATAAAATTATTGTCCCTGTCAGTTCTATATTCATAACAAAAGCACACAGACTCGAGAAAAGGATCTCTATTTTACATACATGGATCCATCAACATTCATACATTTACTTCCATCCAACTGTCTCAGAAACTGACAGTCTAGTTAAGGATCACTTCAGTGCTCAAACTGGACTAAAATATCAGCATGCAATGGATGACTCGACAGTACAGAAAAGTAACAACTGACAAATTTTCATTTTCCTCTCCAGGAAAAAGCAGGCATCTCAGATACAGTAAGTCAACAGACTATATTATATCTCCAAGTACAGGCTTCTTAGCCTTCTAATCACATTTTTGGGGGGTACTATTTATAAAACATGGCGTCAACAGCGAAATGATTACCACTCTCGTGGTACATAACTTTGCCCAACAAAAGAAGATCCCACAACATAATGAAAAGATCAAATTCTACTTATGTATCTTTGAGGCTAAAATCCAAACAAAACACACAAATACAAAAAAAAGTCCTTATCTGATGGTGACTTTCAAGAACCATTCAGAACATTTAAATATGGTGTCACTGATAAAGAGTGTTTGTAATCTGAGTACCAATTAAATCAAGTCTTCATCCTTCCTATGGCTAAGCGATGTAACAACAGTGTCATGGTCTCAGATGTAGAAGCAGCAGGTGATCATCCAAGCTGGCTATGATACCCACACACATTCTGCTTGAAATTCACCAGAAACATAAAATGTCACCAACCTAGAATAGGACTTCCTCTTTTGTAGGCTTCTGCCCTTTCAGTCTTCATTTCTAGAATTAACCATGAGCCTTTGCAGCAAACCAAGAAAAGCTATATTACAACTTCCAGGCTCAGGTCTTCACTTGTCACAGAAAGCAACAGACATTTTGCATATATTAAAAATAATTATACCCTCTGATCATTCAAATCTAGAAAAAAAGTAATACTCCAGTTTATCTACTTTTTTGGCAATGCCAAGGACTGAATCAATAGTACTGTGCATGCCTGGCAAATGCTCTATCACCGAACTACACCCCCAGTCCTACATTTCAACTATATAAAAATCCATTCATCAAATTACCCAAGAGCAACAGATTAACACCCACAGGATCACGATGCCTTATATCCAATGTGTGTAACCCTCCAAATGCCCTTAAGTGTGGCCTTAGGAATTTCAGAGTAAATGTTTCACCTGAGTAAAATCCAGTAGAGACAATCTCCTTTGTGAAGTGTAGTTACTTCTTCCTTATTATACTTACTTGGACAAAAAAGATTACAAAAAAACTTAGTAAAGATATTTCAGTGGAAAGCTTAAAATTTTTCAGCTGGTGGAAAGAGATAATTTATGACAAATCTCAAAAATCAGGGTCAGTTTCAAATTTTTTCTTTACTAACTCAAGAGTGAAATGCTAGATTTATCCTCACAGGGCTTATAATTTAAAAGATAAATTATAATAAATTCAAATATATACTGCCAAACCTTTAGACAAGGCTGGGATAGCAAGGATAAACTCAGTAATGCTTTGTAACTCATCCCATGAACCCATTTGGCCTAGTGTTGCTCATTTGGTTACTCTGAGAATGGGAAAAATTACGTTTTTAGAATCATATATTTATATGAAGGTAGTCTTTAAATATAAAATCAATAAATATTTAAATTCTATGATAAAGAAAACACACAAAATAAGAAATTTCTATCTCTGTAAGTAACTGCATATTTACAATGAATGTTCTCTGACTCCTAATTTTTGTCTATTAGAGTTCTTCAATTGAAACAGAGAAGGTAACAGCTCTTACTACCTTATAGGAGTCCTGTTTAGCTGAGAATCAGTCTGTCTCAGACATTCTGTTCCCTGAAAAGCCTTCACACTTATGTGCAGAAACATCTGAGAGTACAGGTGGGTGCATGTGCAAAACGTACATATGTTAAAGGGGAGCGAACTAGGGTTACAAATTAAGTCTAAAACACAAAATAAATTGCTATTTCCCAGCCAGAAACAAACAAACAAATACAACAAAACTCCATATATAATGGGGAAAAAAACTGCTGAGCCCACTACAGGAAAGGCAGCAGCTGTAAACTCAACTTACCCTTTGTCATGTTATATAAACATCGTTCTGTTACCCCGGCTTCAGAACACTAGATTCTGTGTCCATTTGATTAAATGCACACTTCTGATGTAGCCTTCATTTATAATCTGAGGCTGGACCATACAAAATAATGAATAGGTCCTTTTAGCTATGTAATATGTAACCTATACCTTAAAAGAAAAGTGCCCACATGACAAAATGCATTATAAACCCCGAAGTAGATTTCTGTCTTCTGCTACTTAGAAAAGCTCAAACACTGGATCACTGAGAACTTCAGTCAAAGGAAAGTTGCATGTTTGACTGCTAGCATTGTATATTTAGGAAAATATAAATGGGGGAAAGATTACAAACTAGAGTACTAGCCGAGGTACTGTTACACATGACAGAAAGGCAACTATACAAAAATATTTTTAAAAGCTGATTCTTTAGATGTCATTTGCTCAAAAACAAACAAAAAACAAACCAAGTATAGCACTACAGCTGATCAAAATCTGAAAATTAGTTAATGCATGTTTTCTCCTCCCACATCTATAAACCTTCTTTGCCGTCTTAAGTTTTGGGGAGAATAGAAAAAGAAAATGGATACAGACTATTACTACTTACGAAACGAGGCATATTCTAATAGTCATAAGGCAATGTGTTTAAGAGCTGCACCTGAACAAATATTCTCCAAGCTGAAGATGGTCACCAACCCTTTTTAATTTGCAGAATGGATCCACTTGCTCCTCAAGTCACTGGCTGTCACCCTAATAGACCACAGTAACTTCATCAAGCCTTAAGGAGGCATTTTACTATGTGTGGTATGCACATGTATTTGAAAGAAATAACTAAGAGAAAGAGGACAGCTTTGCAAATATTAGTTCCTTCTATAAATGACAACAGGGCTATGGGGCTCCCTTTTAATACCTCAAGAATTAAACAAGGGAGAGGGGAAGTTGTTGGTAAGCTGTTCTTTCAGGTGAGCTTTCAGTTCATTGGTTTCCAGTGCTTGTATCCAGATTCACTATGGAGTGAATGTGAGTATCATCCAACTGATCACAAAATAGAATAAAAAGACTGGATACACAGCAAGAGCCTTGCGGTTTGGAGGTTGGCTGTCAGCAAGAAAGGCTGTAGATGCTAAAGAAAACAAAAAGAAATACATAATATTTACCAGATGTTACCAGAACTACTAATATTTACTAAACTCCAATGTGATTTGCATAATCTGGAACATAGAAGTACACTTAAAGTTTAGTTTTCCTTGTGGCCCCTCAGAGAATAATACCTCAAGTTCAGTTATCGGGCAAGAATGTATGGCTCAGTGGCAGAGTAGAGTACTTGCTTAGCATGCACAAGGCCCTAGCTTCCATCTACAACTATACACACAATCAGAGTGCATGTATCTGTCATCTTCCAATAGCCCAGGGTGGCTTCTTTCAAATACTAAAGCTTCAAAATTTTTTGACTATTTTGAATAGAAATCCTTCCTAAGCAGGTTTCTTGGCCTTTTGTGGAAGGTTACTTAATACTTAACTATGTTTAGCAGGTTTAAATATGTGTAAGGTTATTTGCTCCTACACTAAATGGTCTTACATTACTTCCTTTATTTTTGTGAGTTAATTTGGGAGAGGGTCTGTTTTGTTACAAACGAGGTTTGACATAACCCAGCTGGCCTTGGATATACTATGTAGCTGAAGTTGACTTTGAACTCATAATCCTCTTGCTGCTACCTCTCAAGTGCTGGGACTACAGAGTTATCAGCTCTCTTTAAAGTGCTATTCTGTCCATCCAAGAAAAGCCTACTCATCTTCTTACTCATCAAAAATAACCCCTATAGATTAGGCAGAGTGGTACAGGTCCGTAATCCCAACAATTTGAGAGGCAAAGGCAGGAGGATTATGAGTTCAATGCCAGCCTGAGTGACATGGAGAGATCCTGTCTCAAAAAAATGTGGTTATGTACAGCTTTTTGTTCTGTTCTGTGGTGCAGAAGCTTGAACCAGGGCCGATAACTGCTAAGCAAGCACTCTACCATAAGTAGTACTATATTCCCAGCCTCATTTTAAAATTTTTATTGAAATAGGGTATTGCTAAATGTCCAGTCTAGCCTTGAACATGCAATCTTCTTGCCTTGATCTACAAAGTAGCTGGGATTATAAATGCATACCACCATGCCCAGTGACTTTTCACATTCAGATGTCTAGCTCACATAACATGGACTCTATCACCTTCAATACTTACTTAATATAGCAAGTTCTGTGGCTGCTATGCTCATTTCATAGCAGAATTTCATTGTTCATAATCAGCTTTCCATCTTTTTATTTTTGTTTTTTTTTGAGACAGGGTTTCTCTGTGTAGCTTTGGAGCCTATCCTGGCACTCGCTCTGGAGACCAGGCTGGCCTCGAACTCACAGAGATCTGCCTTCCTCTGCCTCCCGAGTGCTGGGATTAAAGGCGTGCGCCACTAATGCCCGGCTCAGCTTTCCATCTTTAACCCATGTTTTTATCTACTCTGGTGCTACAGATATAAATACATACTAACCAATAACAGACCAAGCGAACATCACCACTACCACAAAAAGCCGAATCATGAAGTTTATTGGTCCCTGCCCTGCCAAAAGCACCAGGCGGCAAATCAGCATTGCGACAGTCAAAGGAAGGATACAGTATCCAAGGACGCACAGGCTCTGAAAGAAAGAACTACAAACAACACACATCCACAAATCATAAGTATTATTGAGTGGTACCCAGACACATCTTATTGTACAGATGTCTCAGAGATTCAATGGACTATTGCCTCCTTCCTACTATCCTATCTATACCTTTATCCTGATGGTAATTTAATGAAACTAGTCCCCTGTATCATATACTTTCATTTTCTCTATACTCTTCCTGTTCCCCTCTTAGGCCCCTAAATAGTCAATTTTTTAATATCAGATGATCTACTCTAATTCCTAGAGATTTTCCATTGATATTCTAATGTAGTTCTTCCAATTTGAGAATGTGTTTTATCATATGTTCCCCAAAAAAGCATGCATTTTCTTAAAGTAAATTTGCTTATAACTTCAAGGGTTGGAGGAAAAATCTGAAGCTCATCACTAAAATCCAAAATTTATTTCAACTGAGTTGTTGCTCTATTGTAATGGTATTAACGGAGCTTCTTATTTGGTCCTTAAGTCAAATTTTCTTTAAAAATATATCAATATAGCACTGTTTCCCTAAAATCTATGATGTGCTACCTAGCAAAGAGGAAAGGGTACATTAATGATACTTACATGTTGCCGCCAAGAAGTTTTGAATTGAGTGTAATAGTAACCGCTCCAAACCAAACGACGACAAAAACTTCTGCAAATTGTGGTCCTCCATCTTTTTCTCCATCCACAGAGCTCTTTTGTAGCATTCTAAGAAACAGCAATGAAAACGTCATAATCTTTTATACAAAGCAACAAAAACATGCATTCTCACCAGACTGCTATGGCATACCTCATCTGAACAACTGTAAGGAATGTATTGTACTTTGTATCGTAAGGAAAACACCAACAGAATCTAGCAAGGTTTTCTTATTTAAAATCCAAATGCCTAAGGACATTTTGGGAATGTATAACTGGCTTGCTAAAAGCCTCTCTGTCTAAGCATAAGTTATTGAACCAAACCTCCCTCACAAATATGAGATATTTTGTTGCTCATATAACATGTAAAATAGCTTTAAATTTAATTCGACAGTATTTAAGTCGAGATGCTTCAACTAAGACTATATTTCTGATGGTGGGTTCGATTATAGGCATCATAACCCCAACTAAGGAGATTGAGATAGAAGGCTCTTGAGTTAAAAGAATGTACCTTTCTAGTGAGGGTTAGCTCAGTGATAGAGTATCTACCTAGTATTCATGAGGCCCTGGGTTACATTCCCAAGCATAGCAAAAAAAGGAATTTACTTATGGGTTTATGTGAAAAGTGAGATTTTTTTTTTCACACTGGGCCTCTGAGATTCTAACACAGTATTGGGTTTAGTTGGCATAGCAACAAGGGTCTTCCAGTCATCAGATCAGTACTCTATGTATGTTTGTATTACTTTTCTAGCTGTTAGCAAATCTGAGTGTTTGCTTTGCTTTTAAACAAGGTCTGCTTGTGTGGTCTAGAATGGACATTAACTTGTTATCTTCCTGCCTCAGCTTCTTGAGCACCAGGATTATAGAGGTACTATGCTCAGCTATAAATTTGTAATTCTTACATTAAAGTTCTAGAGCACATGCTCAATAATAGAAAGGCTTTTTAAACTTACTTAGTTGCCAATTTTTAAAGATCAGAATATAAATATCATTACTAAAGGACTGTGCTTTGAAACTGAGTAAATATTGAACTGTCATCTAAATATTCTGTGTCTAAGAATTTAATAGATATAAAATGTTTTGAATACTGGACTTAGGATATTTAGTATGTTTTCCCTGAAAATAATAAAAGAAACACAAGTTCATACCTCTTCTTAATACATAGGATAAAGAAATTATATATTAAGTCTTGACTGGTTATGCTACCTGCCAGTATGTGGAGGATTCTGTATTGTATGGCTATGTGTATTCTATTCCAAATCCTGACCATTAAGTACAAAGAATGGCTAGTACTCTTTGTTCTCTGGAACCCCAATCATTTGAGAATGGTAGGGTGAAAAGAATACTAACTACTCTGGGGGGCAGGTGACTCAGACACTGATCCTAGTTCTGTTGCTAGATATGTCATTCAATTTTATCTTAGGACTCCAGTTTTCTCTGCAAATAAGTGAAGTGAAACTACATAAGCTCTAAGGTTAACCTTTTAAAACTAATGAATATATCAAGAGCTCTTAACATATATCCTTTCAAGGCACTACACTGGTTCCCTTGGTATGATTACTAAAAGTACAAGTAATACTGCATTATGATCTAAATGAGTACATGATAAATTTAAATGTTAATAGCTACAGTGTTGTGGTGCATACTTGTAACCCTAGCATTCAGGAGGTAGAGGCAGGAGAAGCACAAATTTGAGGCAAGCCTGAGCTATATAGAAAGTTCTGGGATAGTGTGGGCTACACAGTACAACCCTGTCTTTATTTATTTATTTTGATTTTTTGAGACAAGGTTTCTCTGTGTAGCTTTGTAGACCAGACTGTCCTCGAACTCACAGAGATCTGCCTGCCTCTGCCTCCCAAGTGCTAGGAGTAAGGCATGCAACACCACCACCCAGCTCAACCCTGTCTTTTTTAAGAACTCCCAAATGCCTAGTCAAATTTTTCCTTAATTCTGGAACTCCGTCACAAATGGTCTAGTTCAAATGAAGGAAATGTAAATACTTACAATGCAAGTGTCACACACAGTATTAATGGGCCCCACAAATCCCCTACAAGGAAAGAAAAGACAGGCTGCTAAGAAACAAATATGCCCTATCTCCTATCTTTATCCTAATACTTACCTCTCACTCTTAGAATTCAAGGAGCAAGTTTTACTTAAGCCTTCCCAACCTTTCTGTCCCCACACGTCTCACCATACCTTGAAGGTTTGTTCCCTTCTTGAGTCATAAATTACCCTTTCTTCATTTCCTAATCCCCATTCCAGCACATTAAGAGCTATGTACAATCAATCTGTCCCCCAAATGTACAAAATATTTAGATCAAAAATTCTGCCTGTGACTTCAGGATCTGGAGGCAATCTGAATCTCATCAAAAGACTTAGATGATAATCACCTTAAATTCCCAACTACAGCCAAATCACATTACCAAGCTCAGCTGTGAGCACTTTTAAGGTTCATATTTACTGATGAACTTAATACAATGAGCCAAGTCTTTCAACTTCTAAAATTCCATTCTAAATTTCTTCCAAAAATCTATATAACTATTTCTTCCTATAAAACACCATCAGCTTTATTATATTTGCCTTTGCTTTATAAAGCAGAACTGATAAGGAACCAATGATATGAAGCAAATCCTCAAAAACCTCATATACTCACAATCTCTTAGCAATGCATTACTTTTCCTTGGATATAAAACATGCATAAATTTCTTCCCCACAGCTTTTAGATCACGCATCTGAAAGACAAAAATAACGATGTGCTGTAATGATTAAAGTTACCAGGAAGTCCCCTCCATTTGCTAAAAAGACTGTAACAACTCACTCTCAAAGAGAAAACCTTAAATTTCAATAGATAAAATATATTAAAAGTCAAAGAACAAAACAAAAATATCTGAAAGTATTAGTATTTACTCCCATAACACTGAAGGGGTTTCCCAACCAGTCTAACTTACGATGGTATGGCGAACAGATTCATTTAATGTGGAGTGGTCAAGCTCTCGAGCACGAGCTCTCATGGGAATGGTAATCTCTCCTTCTACTGGAATGTCTTGTGAAATTGATATATCAGAAAGGCCTGAAAACTAAGAAAAGATGAGGGAAAGAAAATTAAGCTAATAACAGATTGCAAAATATCTCAAAAACATCACCATTTTCTAGAGTTGGGACTGTAAATTTCATTTCGGTTTTGCACAGTCGTTAAAAGTAAATGTTAACTCAACATACATTAAGCAATACAGTTAATCCTCAAAGATACCTTTTAATTAAAGGATATGGACTCTAATGTACTATGTCACAGTACTATGTACTATTAAAAGTAGTACTTTTCACTGTTCTGTGATGTTTCATCATTTTCCAAATGAATAAACTCTGGTTTAGTGTGATTTTATTCAAGGTCACAACTGATCCATAAGATGATCCAATTACCTTGTCCCTTCAGTGCTGGGGATTGGATTTATAAGGCATTGCACATGCAAAACAAGCACTGTACATCTGGGGATGTACACAGAGCTACATCCCCAGACTCAATACACTCTTTGACAATTTCATTCCTGGTGCTTATAACACTGTCTGGAACACAGTAGATGCGCAATAAATATTTGCTGAATGAAGGCATGAACAAATAGGGCTAATGAGAAGCAGAGTCGGGACTAGAACCAAGTTCACTTGCCTCTCACTTCAGTTCTCTATTGTTAAGCTGCCAATGTAAAACAAAAGAAATGGAAACATTTATTGAGCAAACACTATATAAGCAAATACTGTTTGGGAGGAAGAACATCAGGGCATAACACTGACTTCCTTATACTCCTCCGTTCATGGCCTTGATTGTATTAGGCACTTCATGTAAGTTATGTCATTTTATCTTCCCGAAAACTCTTAAAGGCAGATACTTTGTTTTAGTTTAAGAGATAAACACCCTCTATTGAAATGAATTGCTTAAACTCCCACAGGTTTCACAGTGAATGGACTCCGGCCCACCTAAGTTTAACTGTAAAGCCTATACTCTTAAAATAGTACGCGCTGTGGCTTTTACTCTAAGTGTCCCGAAGAGGATGACAACAACCTGAAAATAATAATTAATCTGCTAGGGTCACTGAATAAGTAATGACTGAAGCTACAAGCAATAAAATGCCAACGTCCTATGGGAAGCAGTTTCTAATTACTTCGGATGTACGTCACGATGGCAGGTGACAAGTCTTGATAAAATGACAGTGATCGACACTTCAGAAAGCACTCAAATCTCAGCATTTAGCGCAATTTATTGGACAAGGATTCCCTAGTGTGGAAGGAAGAGATTCACGAAAAGGCATACAAGGACAGCGGAAGGAGGGGAAAGAGTTAAATGAAAGAACAGGTGCTGTGCTAACAACTGATTGCAGCTGCAAAGGCATGCAGGGCCAAGGACCTCCAGCTCTCTCAAGCTACGACCCACGACCGTATGGGGAGTTCTGCCTCACCCTCGGTCCCTTCTATCACAGTACCCTAGCTCACCAAAGGCCTCGGCATCCCTGCCTCCTGTTCTCCAGGCGATTCCTCGGCTTCCGCCATCTTGCCACACCTTCGTCCAGGTCGCTCCCATGCGCCTTTGCGAAACCTGAGACGTGGAAACCAAGGCTGGTCAGTGTACTGTCGCGTACAGATGACGTCACAACGGGTGCCTGAGAGTGACTGCCTCAGCACCCTGTATGCCCCTGTGCTCCGGTAGCCTCTGACTCGAGGCCGAGCGCCTTGTTGCTCACTTTTGGAGAGCCGGTACCGTCAGATGGAGTTCCGGCTTTCACGCCCTCTACGAGCACAGGCTCATCTCCCCGAAGCGCCCACGGTGCCCAAAGGAGTCCAGCCGAATGCAGCGTAACACAAGCACAGAGGCTCCCAGCCGAATTTAGTCGAGTGCAGCCGAGTCCAGCGGCGCACAGCCGAACCTAGCCGAACACACTCGAGCCCAGAAGCTCCCAGCCGAACCTAGCCGAACACAGCCGAGCACGGAGGCGGACAGCCGAATCTAGCCGAACACGGAGGCGGACAGCCGAACCTAGCCGAAAATACTCGAGCTCAGAGGCTCCCAGCCGAACCTAGCCGAACACACTCGAGCCCAGAAGCTCCCAGCCGAACCTAGCCGAACACACTCGAGCCCAGAAGCTCCCAGCCGAACCTAGCCGAACACACTCGAGCCCAGAAGCTCCCAGCCGAACCTAGCCGAACACACTCGAGCCCAGAAGCTCCCAGCCGAACCTAGCCGAACACACTCGAGCCCAGAAGCTCCCAGCCGAACCTAGCCGAACACACTCGAGCCCAGAAGCTCCCAGCCGAACCTAGCCGAACACACTCGAGCCCAGAAGCTCCCAGCCGAACCTAGCCGAACACACTCGAGCCCAGAAGCTCCCAGCCGAACCTAGCCGAACACACTCGAGCCCAGAAGCTCCCAGCCGAACCTAGCCGAACACACTCGAGCCCAGAGGCTCCCAGCCGAACCTAGGCGAGTACAGCCGAGCCCAGCAGCGCACAGCCGAACCTAGCCGAACACACTCGAGCTTAGCGGCTCACAGCCGAACACACTCGAGCCCAGAGGCTCCCAGCCGAACCTAGCCGAACACAGCCGAGCACGGAGGCGGACAGCTGAACCTAGCCGAAAATACTCGAGCTCAGAGGCTCCCAGCCGAACCTAGGCGAGTACAGCCGAGCCCAGCGGCGCACAGCCGAACCTAGCCGAACACACTCGAGCCCAGAGGCTCCCAGCCGAACCTAGCCGAATACAGCCGAGCATGGAGGCGCACAGCCGAACCTAGCCGAACACAGCCGAGCATGGAGGCGCACAGCCGAACCTAGCCGAACACAGCCGAGCATGGAGGCGCACAGCCGAACCTAGCCGAACACAGCCGAGCATGGAGGCGCACAGCCGAACCTAGCCGAACACAGCCGAGCATGGAGGCGCACAGCCGAACCTAGCCGAACACAGCCGAGCATGGAGGCGCACAGCCGAACCTAGCCGAACACACTCGAGCCCAGAAGCTCCCAGCCGATCCTAGCCGAACACAGCCGAGCCCAGCAGCGCACAGCCGAACCTAGCCGAACACAGCCGAGCAGGGAAGCGCACAGCCGAACACACTCGAGCCCAGAGGCTCCAAGCCGAGCCCAGCGGCGCACAGCCGAACCTGGCCGAACACACTCGAGCTCAGAGGCTCCCAGCCTGACCTACGTGAGCGCAGCCGAGCCCAGCGGAGCCCAGCCGAACACAGTCGGATGTTGCGGTGTCCAACCGAGTGCTGCCGAGCCCCAGCGGCGTCCAGTCGAACCCAGCCGAACTCAACCGAACCTAGCGGCACCGAGCTGAACATACTCCCACCAGCGCCACTGCCTAACTGAGCAGCGCCCAGTCAATTCTACATAGCTGAGCCAAGAAGCGGTGACCAGCGAGGACCAGCTGAAAGCAGCTGAGACTAGCAGCGTTTGACAGAGCCAGTTCATAGGCAGTGGCTCTGAAGTGCCAGTCTCCGTGTACCCCCAACTGGTCTCTCTTCTAGGGGAAAAGTAAAAGGCCTTCAACTTCAAGTTGAAGAACCTGATCCTCCTGTCTCTGTGCTCCTTCTACTGCCGCCTCTGCCCTACTAGTTCCCTGAGCTCCTTAGCCAGTTTCTATCTCCTTCGAGTCCTTAAACCTCTGTAGTGTCTTCCTGCAAAAGTTTCTCCTTCATCCCCTGTGGAAAGGGAGAGGTACTTTAACCCAAAAAAGAAAAAAAAAGCCCCTTCCTGGACCCTTTATGACACCCTACCTCATCCTCCAAGTTCAAGGTGTTTCTGACTCCCGCTTGCTCTGGCTCACCCTCTTGTACCAAGTTTAGATGAGGTCAAACAAGGCAGTCATTGTTGACGCCTCCCTACATGCTATTCTGAGCCTGGGGGGCGGGGTGGGAGAAAATGCGCATTTTAGGTAATTAACCAAGAGGGGTAGAATATAAATGAAAGGCACTGATTTGTGTTTTTGGATAGGTAGTTCAGGAAGGAACCCAAATAATCAATGATGGACACGTAGAATATGGAAAACCATACTTTCCAGAATGAGCTTTGGGGGATGGCCGTTAATTATTTTACTTAAATGTTAGTACAATAAGTGTCCTTCAAACCAAGTTAAGTTTTCAGGACTTAAATACTCGTGGAAGTGATAACAGAATTTAGGCTTTGCCACGGCTGTGGGGCTTGCTTATAATCCCAGAGGCAGGAGGATTCTTATAACTTTGAGGCCAGTCTAGTCTATATAGAAAGTTTCAGATGGGGCTGGAGAGATGGCTCAGAGGTTAAGATCACTGGTTGCTCTTCCAGAGGTCCTGAGTCCAATTCCCAGCACTCACCCACATGGTGGTTCACAACCATCTGTAATGGAATCTGGCGCCCTCTCCTGGCTTGCAGGGATACATACATACAGATTACTGTATACAAAATAAATAAATACATCTTTTTTTTTTTAAGAAAATTTCAGGACACTCACGGGTACCTGGCACTTTGTCTTAACAAACGTTTTAGGCTAGTTGATATGAACTCCTATTTTAATTACAAGAAAATATCATATGCAGGGCATGAAAGCTCAAGCCAGCAGGTAATCACATCATTAAGAAGTAGAGGCAGGAAGACTAGGAGTTAAGGATCATCCTAGGCTACATAAAGAGACCAGTTTCAAAAGCTAATTAAACAACAAAATATCTTATACAACTACCTCCAAGTCAGCCTTGGCCTCCCATCCTGATCCCTCCTCCAGCTATCATTTTACCCTGTCTCCCACACTTATCCACTCAAGCCCCTTCCCACTTCCATTGATAACTTCATTTCCTTGCCAGCCTCCAAAATTAGTTATCGCTCCCTCACTATTAGCACCCAATTGTTATCTCTAACCTCACCTCTTAGCTTCTTTGCTGCTCTTTCACAGATGTCATTAGAAAGGCCATAAAACAAGTCAATAAGATTTCAGAAGGATTACTTCAGACCATCAGTTAACTAAGGGGTTACAGATCTGGTGTGACGCTATGAGTTGACAAAAGAAAGGTTATGAATGAAGAGGGTGGTATAAGAGCGCTTAAAATGGAGTAAAAAGAGAGGATAAGGATCACGGAAGGCAAGATGACATAGGACAAGAGGGGATATATGAGATGTGGCTGAAGTGTTATATAGTAGAATGGGTGGAAGCAGCACTCAAATCTAACTGAACAATACACAAAATAAAAATTATTGTAAGATATGTACAACAGTGGATATTAAATAATCGAAAATAAATAAGAAGAATGCTCATAAAGGGAGTTGCCATCAGAAATACAGAGTTGAACAGTGAAGTTCTCGGATTTCTTGGCCTCTAGCAGACTCCACTTGGTGTTGTGTTGGGAAGGGGTGAGTGGGAGCCGTTGGTCCTTGCAGCCTCTCTATTACATTGGGTTCTGGTGTGTATGTGGAGGGGTGGAAGGTTATGTGAGGAGCAGCACTTCCCTTAAAGTTTCTGCAGCTCTTTCCTGGGCAGCTTTGATTCAGCTTGCATGGTGCTGATTCCAGAGGATTTGCAGCCAACCTCTAATTCCCAGCAATTGCACCTGCTCCCTGTACAATTCTTGTGTCACTGTAATTCGTTTCTACTAGAACCCACTCCCTAAATGTTGCATCACCTCCCAGTAGTGCCACAGCTGGGCAAGGCGTCAGTGCCTTGGGAACCAGGCGTCAGGGCCTTTGGGAACAATTAAAACATAAACTACAATAAGAACAGAGAAACTTAAGTTATAGCATAGTGAAATGATAAGGAGATGGTGTGCAGCCCAGAGAGAAAACATACTCATGTAATGACTTTCCTTCTTTTTCTGCTTGGTTCTTCCTTCTTCCCTTCTTCTGTTGCATGGGATAACGTCACAATATCAAATGCATATGAAATCCCTGTTTGGGGCTCTGCTCTGTACAGAAAGTCTAAGAATATACAGTGTTCCAACACAGTAAAATACATTTAACTATATTTTTAGTGCCTTACTACTTTCTCATACATTCATTTGAACTGTATTACTAACACTATATCCCCATTAAATTTATCTATGGTATTAGGGATGGAACCAAGGACCTGGAACATGCTATGCAACCACAGTATTATATAGCTACATTCCTAACACCTATATTTGTATTTTATAAAAAGGCTTAATTTTGTTTGATGTGTATGGCTGTCTTGCTTACATATCTGTTGTACCACATACAAGCCTGGTGTACAGGTAGTCCAGAAGAGGGCATAGGATCCCCTGGAATTGGAATTACAGACAATTTTGAGCTAAGTAGACAGTGTTCTTAGTTACTGAGGCATCTCTCTAGCTCCCCATTTTACTTCCTAATTATAGCCCTTCATACCTTAAATGATATTTAACATTGTGTACTCAAAATGGCATCTCAACTTTCTCCGCTCAGCTACTTTACTCCTCTCTGCTATTTTCTTTTCAAAGTTGATTCAATATTCAATTCTACAATTATCCACCATACTTCTCTCCCACATTTAATCTTACTAACTGAAATCATAACATCATTGGTTGTTTATCCTCCAAAAGTTATTTAAATAAAGGAGCTACTATTGTCAAATAGAGAGGACAACATTTTTACAGTGAAAATATCAAGGAGCTATAGTTGTCCTTGCAGTTAATATTCTACTTAGGAACTAATATAAATCTTGCATCAGACACCCTGAGCTCCTGGATTGAGGAACTATTTTTTTTTTTTTAGCAAAACACTCTACTACATCCAAGTCTCAAATTAACATTGCTAATACTTCAACCGAATGAACATAGATGATAAAAACAAAACAAAATAAAAAACAAAACAAGCCATGATATGATATCAAATGCCCAAATCCCAATTCAGTAACACAAGAAAGCATGAAAAGCTAATATTATATAATTCCTCAAAACATTGCAAATTAATTGGCATCCATTGAGAGGGAATTAGATGAAACCCCAGAGAACTCAAAAGAATAATTTCACGTATGTTCAGAATAATTTCACGTATGTTCAAAGAAATCAAAGACACGGAGCACCGGGTCAAGTATAC